GGGGGCCCACCGGGTGGGGCCACCTGCCCCGGGGGGCCACATGGGCTGTAGGGGGTGTGCCTTGGCCTTCATGGGCCAAGGGCACCAGCCCCAAGAGGCCCATGCGCAAGGAAACTTGGAGAGGGAAGAGTCCTAAAGGGGGAAGGCACCTCCGAGGTGCCTTGGGGAGGGTGGACTCCTCCCCATCCTTAGCCGCACCCCTTCCTTGGAGGAGGGGGCAAGGCTGCGCCCTTCCCCTCTCCCTTGGCCCTATATATAGTGGGGAAAAGGAGGAGCAATCAGACCTAAGGCCTTTGGTGGCCTCCCTCTCCCTCCCGTGACACATCTCCTCTCCCGTAGGTGCTTGGCGAAGCCCTGCGGGGTTGCCACGCTCCTCCATCACCACCACGCCGTTGTGCTGCTGCTGGATGGAGTCTTCCTCAACCTCTCCCTCTCTCCTTGCTGGATCAAGGCGTGGGAGACGTCACCGGGCTGTACGTGTGTTGAACGCGGAGGTGCCGTCCGTTCGGCACTAGGATCATCGGTGATCTGAATCACGACGAGTACGACTCCATCAACCCCGTTCACTTGAACGCTTCCGCTTAGCAATCTACAAGGGTATGTAGATGCACTCTCCCTCCTACTCGTTGCTGGTCTCTCCATAGATAGATCTTGGTGTTTCGTAGGAAAATTTTTGAATTTCTGCTACGTTCCCCAACAAGACACCACCCAACCCGCCATCAAACACCCAGTCACCACCCAACCCGCAACCAAACAACTCGCCACCACCCAACCCGCCATCACCAACCCGCCAACACCCAACCCGCAACCACACAACCCAACACCACCCCACCCACCGTCCGCATCTTCTCCTACACCAGACACCCCTCGTTCCCATCCTACCAGCTAAAATTGTTCCTACCGCCCCCCTGTCAATGATCATGGCATGCGTACTCATACCAAATCAGGTTTTTGTCAGCCCACAGATCGCCTCGACCTACATGCTACCACATCTCTGTCTTACATTCCCAGAACATACAAAACAACTCTTCTTGATCCGAATTGGGCTGCTGCCATGCAAGAAGAATACAATGCTTTAATTCAAAACAATATTGACAGTTAGTTCCTCGTCCTTCCAATACAAATATCGTTTCTGGCAAATGGGTCTTTCGCAAAAAATTCCACTCTTACGGGAGCCTCTCCCGCTATAAAGCTCGTTGGGTCTGTCGTGGTTACTCTCAACAACATGGCATTGATTATGATGAAACATCCTCTCCTGTTGTCAAGCCCAGCACCATTCGTAGTGTTCTTAGCATCACTATTTCCTCCGTATGGCCCATCCATCAACTAGATGTAAAAAATGCTTTCCTCCATGGTTCTCTGCAAGTGACCGTCTATTGTCAGCAACCTCTTGGTTTTGAAAATCCTTCCTATCCAAATCATGCCTATCTTCTCTAGAAATCTTTTTATAGTCTCAAACAAGCTCCACAAGCCTGGTTTCAATGTTTTTCTTCTTTCATCCAAACGACAGGTTTCACTTCTTCCCTTTCTGACACTTCTCTCTTTGTGTACCACCATAATTCCAAAACTACCTACCTCCTTCTTTACGTAGATGACATCATTCTCTCCGCATCTTCTCAAAGCTTTTTAGATTATATTATAACCCTTCTTCATTCTAAATTCTCTATTACAGATCTTGGTACTCTTCATCAATTTTTGGCCATTGTTGTTCTTCGTGCCTTTTTCTTTCGCAACATCAGTATACTCTTGATCTTCTTAATTGTGCTGGCATGCTTGACTGTCAGTCCTCTTGCACCCATGTTGATACCAGTTTCGAACTATCCGCTGACGGTGAACCTTTCCATGATCCTACTCTGTAGCGCTACTTCTACTTTCCTACCTGTAGCGCTAGTTGGTAACCATCGCTACTGCTAATTACCAGTAGCGCATCCCCTTTTTCCCGCGCTACTGGTAAGATTCTATCTATAAGCTTTCTCCTAGTAGTGTAGGAGAGAGAGAGAGAGAGAGAGAGAGAGAGAGAGAGACTCCCGCCGCAAGCCACCAAGCAATAGACATCCAGGAGTTTCCCTTCGCCCTCGAGCAGCCTAGGAAGGCGGGTACTCCACCATTCTTTATAGGAGTAATGTGTGGATGGGTCCCTACTGAAGCACATCAAATCAAAGGGCCTCTCTCCCGCATAGCTTCACGCTCTCCTAGTCTAATCCGCCGCATAATTAGGATGAGAAGGAAGATGATCTTTCTATGTCAAGATAATTATGGGTTTGCTAGGAAGAAGGGCCAAATATTGATTCATTGACAGAATAGTTAGAATTTTTTTCCCTTTGCCGATATGTTACTAGCTCTATGATAAAATGTTGAAACCATGAATTACTATATTGTACATGAATGAACCCGGGCTTCTGCGTTCAAGACCATGCCGATACATTAATTCTGTTTTATCTAAATACCTAACAATGCTATCACTGGAATGCAACTCAAATATTACATTCTTCCTATATATGGCGGTCGCTTGCGTGCCGGTGAAAAAAAAGCGTGTGATGGCATCCGTCCTCAAGAAGCTACAGGAGGAGGCAGGACCGTCGCCGGGATATAGATCATTCCAAAGAGCAATGTTGGTGCAGATTGTGTCTGATGAGCTTATGCAAGACAATTTCGCTAGGCGAGAGAGGGCCGTGACTTGGTTGCCAAATCGAGGCACCGGATTACCTCAAGGGCGATGAAAGTTTGTACGTCGCCCCGCTTTAAGAGAGTCTTTGAATCTTTGCAGAGTTTATTGTGTAGGACGTGAAAGGACTTCCCACAGAGGGGAGGAGAAGCGGAAAGCATGTAGATGAATGAAGCATGCCGCTTCGCGAATGGGCGGCTGGCCCAAATTCTTGATAGCCTTGGCATCGTCGATCTCTTCCCACTTCTTCTTCTTGTGATCAACGGCGATCAAGGCGCGGGAGATCTCCTTCCACTTCCGGAAGAGCTTGGTGGCCTGGTGAGTGACGTGGCCACCGTCGTTCCAGGCTGCGACCAACTGGTCCCGGATCATCGTGAATCTTTCCGCCTCTCATGCCACGAAGACGAACATGGCCATGGCCTTGCGAACCTCCTGTTCGGCAATGGCGGTTCCCCCAGCCTTGAAGCGGGCAGCTGCGGCCTTCTGGACGGGTACCTGCACCATGACTTGGATGTCGCCGCTACCGGTGAGACCACGATAAGTGTTGTTGAAGGAGAGCTCTTTGGAGGCAGGAAGCAGGTCGTCCTCCTTCTGGAAGGCCAACCAGTCACCGGCTTGGGACTGGAACCCAACGAGATATAGGTTGTGAGGCTTGATGGCGAGTGTGGCTCGGCCGTTCCCGGATTTTAGCTGCAGATGCAGCATCTTGTAGCCCGGCTTGGTATGCTAATGGTTGGGGGAGGGGGGGGGGGCATGGCCCCCTCCAAGATTGAGAAATCTGCATATATATCCTTCAAAGTTCCATGTAAAGTAGCAAAAACATTGTGTAGCTCAAACTCTGCTTGTCTAGGGCCTTTCGAAGCTCGTCAAGCACAAGTGGGAGCTGGACATTATGCTTCGCGGTGGCCTCAAGTCCGGAAAGGATCAGGCCACCCTCGCCATCCAGCCCCAATAACCTTTACCTGTAGGCCTCCGACTCGTTCGCCTTCAAGGGCAAGACTTTTCTCCGCCCTCGTTCAACTGGGTTGTAATTGATGGACGACTACAAGAGCCTCACCAGCGGAACTGGGGTCAACCACATGGTGAAGGTCACCGTTGGCAAGGCCGCTGTGCAGCACGCCACGTTGTCCCTCGCAGGGTACAAGGTCAGTCGAACCATCGCCGAAGACAAGGTACAAAAGCCGCTAGCAATGATGGTCCTCATCTTGTGCGAGTCTCAGTGCTTCACGATGGTCTTCAACAAGGTGCTGGCAGCATGGAGCGCTGACGGGGCGATCAAGCTCCTCTGATGCTGAAAAAAACTAAAGCCATGAATCCAAGGCATAAATACATAGACTGCTCTTTGATAGCAAGGAAAAGAAAACGCTACGTGCCGCCCTTATCTAGACTTTGAGAAAGGTGTGGCTGCTCCCGGGTGTAGGTGCACCCGTATGAACAGTACACATGAAAAAAATATAAAACAAGATAGAAAAAAACTAATTTTTTTTGACATCAAACTAGATCAATAGATTTAGCCTTCTGCAAAATTTCGTGACCAAATAACATTTGAGGAGCCCTCAGCAAAAAAAAACACTCCTCAAAAGTGAACAAAACTTTGAACACAGATTTTTTTTTTTGCCGAGGGCTCCTCCAATGTTATTTGGTCACCAAATTTTGCAACCAACTAAAACTTTTGATCTAGTTTGTCGTCCCAAAATTTCAGATTTCTTTGATTTTCTTTTGTAGTTTTTTCAAGTGTACTGTTCATGCGGGTGTAGGCTCCACGAAGGTTATTTATTGCTGAAACTTTGCCGGAACATCAAACCTTTGATAATCTTTGATCTCTGAAAGTTTGCAGATTTTTTTGAATTTTATTTTCAATTTTATATGAATTTACTGTTCTTGAGGATGTAGGCCTGTAGGGGCACCCGGGAGCTGTTAGACATTTTTCCAATCAGATTGTGCAGCAATTCCAAATTACATACAGCTTCACATAATAACATCCCAAATGGAAAAAAAAAAAAAAACAACACACGCTCGTGGTCACAAATAAGTGAACAGCACAAATAAGTGAACAGCACTCTAAACCAGAGCATCAGTTTCAATCTACTAGCAATGGTGGCTGCACCCTGCATAAGAAATACAATCCGCCATGTCTTCACAGATTTCTGTATCTGATAAAGCAAGACAAGTTACAACAAAATGGGAATTACACAGTAGTAGTACTCCATAGAAATCCGGCACAACACTCAAGTACTTGTTCCTTTTCCCAGGAAAGGAAACCATGATCATTAACATGTCCGGACGATTGATTTATGTCATAACCCCATGATATCCTCGCACTGATAACACTGGATCACTTCTGAACCTCTGCCATTGCTAGAAACTTCTTCTTCACTGCAGTGAACTTGGCAACCAGTTCATCCTTGTTCGGCAGGCACTCCTTAGCATGCTCGTCGCCAGCATATTCTTTCGCCCATCGGTTTAGAGCAGGGAACTTCTCATCGGTGAGCAGATCCACCCCAGAAATCTCCTCGAAAACTTCGAGCCAGCGAGCCAACCCACTGGCAGCTATGTCCACGAGGTCAATGGTGTCGCCTCCAAAGAACCTCTTCCCCCTTGAGCTGCCCCTCGAGAAGCAGCAGATTCGCCTTGGCCTCCTTCAAGAAGTCCTCCTCCTCCTCCTCCTTGTCACCATCCGCCATACATATCGACATCCAGAACGGCCTAGCAAACTGCAGTATAGCGTTCAGGACAGAAACATATTGTTAAGAAGTTCACAAGAGATGGTACCTTTTGGTCGATGAACTGCGCCCAGAAGCGGGCCGTGGCCCTCTCGTACGGCTCGGCCGGTAGCAGCGGCGGCCCCTTGAAGGCCTCGTCGATGTACTCGACGATGATGAGCGACTCGCAGATGGATCTGTCGCCATGAAGGAGCACGGGAACCAGTTTGTGGACGGGGTTGCACGTCAGCAGCAGCTCGCTCTTGTTGTTGGGAAGGTCTTCGAGGAGCAGCTCGTAAGGTATGCCCTTGAGCCTCAGGGCAACCTCCGGACGGTGGCCGTATATGCTGCCGAAAGTGCTCATCACCTTAACCGGCTCACCCATTTTTCCTTCCAAATTCCGGACCTGAACTCAAAGCCCGTGACTGCTGGCTGATATGAACGGGTGGTACTATTTATATGGGCCAGGGTCAGGGGATGCTTTGTTGCTGTTTCTTCTCTTGAAAGGTTAGATGTGTAAAGATGGGGGAGCGAAACTACTCAGCTGCTTCCATCCAAAGTTGAGATGTGTAAAGAAACTTATCTGATCTTCACCCCAATAAACTTGTTCTTGGCTGAAAGCATCTGTACAGGCTTTGGTTCAATGGAGTTACTCGGGAGCCACACATGTATTTTAAAAAGACAGGTAAGCGCCTCGAGATGATGCATGCCATGGGATTCCCATGGTATATGGGTTATGGCTAGGTGTCAGTCGACTGAGATTTAACCAAGTCTCAGTTAAGTCACATCTTAGAGATAAAAGGAAAACTGAAAATATAATTCTGCACAGATCTCAATGTAAGATCCCATAGATATAGCATCGACTGAGACTTTGTTGGAATTGGGTGAAATATTGCATACAAGTTAGGTTACAGTTGGACTCTAAGTAGTATTGTGTTTAGATAGGATATGGAGTCGTGTCCTAGCACTAGTAGAAAACGGGGCATACGTTCGGGCCAGATAAGCCCATTAGTCTCAGTTCGGTCACGAACCGGTACCCATGGGCCCATTGGTCCCGGTTCGTGAGGCCAGGGGACCTGCTGGGCCTCGTGGGGCCATTGGTCCCGGTTCGTCTCCCTTTGGTCTCGGTTGGTGGCACGAACCGGTATCAATGGGCCTCTCTCCTAGCCCACCATCATTGGTCCCATTTTGTTGCCTGAGCCGGGACCAAAGGGAGGTCTTCAGGACCGGGTGAAGCCACGAACCGGTACCAATGAACCAGCCAGGGGAGAGGGCTTTTGTGTGTAAAACATTAAAAGCCAAAGGAATTTTCATAAAATAAAAAAAAAGAATAGAAAATAAGTAAGTAGAAAAAAAAAATAAGTACAAACAGAAAAACTTTAATAAATCAGTAGAAACAAAATAAACTTTAATAAAGTAAAATAAATGAACTATAATAAAATAAATAAAAATAGCAACAGTAAGTAGAAACAAAAAAAAAATAAAGCAAAAAAGAAAGAATTTTCATAAAATAAATAAAAGAAGCAAAAAATAAAAGGAAATAAATAAGTAGAAACAAAATAAACTTTAGTAAATAAGTAAAAACAAAATAAACTTTTATAAAACCTCTAGTATTATTGAAACTAAAATTATATAAAATTTATGCAACTAAAATTATCAAAGTATTTTCTGTTCAAAACATTAAAAGAAAAAAGAATTTTCATAAAGAAAATTTTTGTTAGAAACTTTAATAGCAAAAAGAACTATCATAAAGATTTTTTGTTAGAAACTAAAATAACAAAAATATGTTTTTGAATATAATGATAAAACACAGTAATATTAAATAGCAGGAAAAAGAATCACTCAAAAATCTATTTTTATAGTAAAGCTATTCAAAAACTAGTGAGTCACCCAAATTTCCAAAAATTCAAATTTAAGCTATTCAAATTAGAAAACAAATGGCACTAACAGAAAGTTTATAATTTTGATTACCTAAAAGCAAAAAGAATCACTGAAAAACTAGTAAGTATTTTGCTGTAAATAGAAACAAAATAAAATAAACAAAGCAAAAAAGAAAAGAAAAAAAGTGCCACCTAAAGGGCCACCACGGCCTGAATACGACTAGAAACCCAACAATGGGCCAGGATTCAGGCCTGCTGTAGGCCAAGTAGGCCCACAGGCACATAGTGACAGATTAGGCCCGAAAAGCCTGCAGTTGAGAGGAGCTCAAGAGGGTTGGCGCAGCAGCGCTTATAAACCACTCTCGAGCTCTCTCAACTAGCGAGGTGGGGCTAAACTTTGGTCGCGACGCAGGCAGCACAGGTCCTTTGGTCCCGGTTGGTGCCACCAACCAGGACTAAAGGGGGGCATTGGTCCTCGTTGGTGCCACGAACCGGTACCAATGCCCAACCTTTAGTCCCGGTTGGTGCCACCAACCAGGACCAAAGGCCTCTGCTTCCCACCCTTTGGGCTTTTGAAAAGAGAGCTTTGGTCCCGGCTGGTGGCAACAACTGGGACTAAAGGGGGTATGAGGGTGTCGATTTTATCAGGAATGAGGGTGTCGATTTTTTTTGTAGTAGGTGATGATGATGATATATGAAAACTTGGTCAATTTTTTCTGTTGTAATTTTGTTCGATGAATGTTTTCTGTTAAAACTTGTATTAAGTTTGTTCGATGAATGTTTCATGGGAGAGAGGGAGTAAAAACTCATCATACATGAGGGGGGACGAGTCCCCCTCCGGTTCCTAACTCTCTCAGGAATTCAACATATATTCAACATGAGGGGGGGCGGGGTCGATAGCCCCTCCCCGATAACTCTGACATGAGGGGGGGG